GTGACCCTTCCCAGCTCAGCACGGCCGCCGTTTGCCAGTGCCAGCCCCTGCGTGCAGGCACCCGGACCCCCCCGCCGCAGGGACGCTTCTGTCTCCTGGTGTCCCAACCTGGCCCCTTCTCCCAGCGGGAGCACGGCCAAGGCATTACCAGGAATCCCAAATCTGGGGTTGCCCTGGATGGGCAGTAGTTGGGAGGGGGGATCACCCCCATCAGCAGAGCTTGCCAGTGCTACACGGCGGGGAGCGGCGCCGGGGAAGGACAGCGAGAGGCGAGGGCAGAGGAAAGCAGAGAGGCTGATACGGGGGGGCTGCTGCCGCTTCGGGGGCTGCCCAGGAGGAGCCAGTCCCTGTCCTGAGCGAGAGCAGTGGGCCATGAATGTGGGCTACGAGGATGATGAGGGGCCTGGAACATCTCTCCTATGAGGAGAGGCTGAGGGAGCTGGGCTTGTTCAGCCTGGAGAAGAGAAGGTTGAGAGGGGACCTTAGAAATGCCTCTAAATATCTGCAGGGTGGGGGTCAGGAGGACGGGGCCAGACTCTTTCCAGTGGTGCCCAGCGACAGGACAAGGGGCAACGGGCACAAACTGGAGCAGAGGAAGCTCCAGCTGAACCCGAGGAAGAACTTCTTCCCTCTGAGAGTGCCGGAGCCCTGGCCCAGGCTGCCCAGAGGGGCTGTGGAGTCTCCTTCTCTGGAGATATTCCAGCCCCGCCTGGACGTGGTGCTGTGCAGCCTGCTCTGGGTGACCCTGCTTGGGCAGGGGGTTGGACTGGGTGACCCACAGAGGTCCCTTCCAACCCTAAACATTCTGTGATTCTGTGACCTGGCAGGGACAGGAGGGCCACAGCAAGGCTGCCAGGTGGGTGGACATTGCCCATTGCTGCCCTTGGAGATGACAGGGACCAGCCACATGCTGCTGTCCCCTAGCCAAGTGCCACCTCCATGCTGTCCCCAGGGTAGAGGGTCAGCAGCCCCATCGCCCGTCTCGTCCTGATGATGCCTCGGGGAGGACGGGGACGTGGCCGCTGCTGCAGGGCTGCTCTGGAGAGGTTTCGGTACCTGTCCCCTCTTCGCCTCGGCGCCTTGCTGCCAGGAAGGGGAGGTGGGGTACGGCCAGAGGCGACTCTCGCCAGGGAGCGGAGGAACGGTCGGAGGAGACTCCAGGGGTACGTAGGACTTGGGGAGGGGAGGTCGAGGCGGGCCTGGTTCCTGGGGTGGAGAGGAGCATGAGGCATGAGAGCAGAGACACTGAGAGCCGGGAAGGAAGAGAGAGTTAGAAAAAGATCCAGACAACACACAGTGGAAGCATCAAGCCAAGGAAAGGAGGAGGGAGAGCAGCTGGCCGCTGCTCCCCAGGCCCCGTGGTCTCCATGTCCCCATGCAGAGAGCGACAGTGCTTCCCATCTCACCGCTGCACATCCTCGGGGCAGTGGGGCCGGAGTTCTCAAGTCCCCAAATCGCACCCTAAACTTCGCATGGATGAAGGTGAGACCAGTACTGCTGGACCCCGAGCCAGGGTAAGCAAGAGGGGACCACGGTGGCAGCAGGAGCTGGTCCTGAAGACAAAGGCTGGAGCTGAGCAGGTCTCAGCCTTCAGGGCTGCTTGAGGCAGGAGCCCAAAGGTTGCAAAGCCCAGCTGTAGCCCCTGCAAGGGACCACGGACCCAAATGTCACCGCAGGACACCACAGCCCATGCACGTGGCCAAAACGGTGTCCCCAGGCAGAGCCACGAGGAAACCCAGCTGAGCTCTGTGCCTGGTGCCCACCCGTGCCCCAGGAGCCAGGCTGGGGACCCAACGGTGGCAAAGGGCTCCCTAGGGACGCCCCGGCACACTCACCTCGCCGGGTCCGGGCTTGGTGGGCGAGCCCTGGGAGCCGGAGACGAGGGAGAAGGGGCTGAGGGGGCTGGTGAGGCTGGCCGAGCTCAGGGGGCTGGCAGGGCTGTTGGAGCTGTACGTCCCCGAGGGGCCGATGGCCACTGCGGAGAAGAGCAGAAATCAGTGCGTGAACCAGGTCCTCCCTCCACCAGCCAGGTGCTGCCGTCTGCCCCGTGGCAGCCCAGGCACCAGGGATGTCCCAAGCCACGGCACGCTGGGGCTTGTGCTGCGTAAGGGCAGGCACAGACCCTGCTCACCTCTGTGCTTGGCAGTGTCCGTGCCACGGGATGGGTTGTTCTTCCTCAGCCCCTCCATCACATCCTGGATCCGCCAGATCTCCTTCTGGATCTGCCGGTTGAGCATTTCGTTCTGGTGGGCAGAAAGGCGGCGGTCAGAGTGGCTCCCGTCGCTGCCAGCCCCGCTGCACCCCAGCCCCGAGCCAAGCTGTGGGACCGGGGGCGGCTGAGCCTTCCAGCCCACCACACGTCTCCTGCCAGGA